GGCCTGTAGCATTACTATCAGAGCAAGGTGTTATAGTAGGTGCTTCACTGCAGGAGACTGTCTGTCATGAGCCACGTAGCGGACACTGGCAAGGCACTGCCTACTTCTAAATTTTCTGGCTAGCCTGTCTGCCCACTACATCTTCTCTGTCTGTCTCCTGGCACACGTGGCATTCCCATCCACTCAGTAGAACACTGCACGCAGTGACTCAGGGGATCAGTAGTACAATATGGGATCTTGCTTCACCAGGGCATTGCTTCAAATCCAACTTACATTGTTTGGGACCAAGAGTCATCGCTGTCACCTCAGCTGCTCTCTGGCTGGTATGAAACAAGTTGATTGGGTCTCAGTCTGGCCTCCCTTATGTAGACATCTGTGGTATAAAATAGTCCTGTTGGCAGGCCCTTTCATTACTTGTTCTGTCTATGGATTCTGGGGTTTGGCAATCCAAAGCATCATTTACAAGCACCATTGAGAAAAAAAAAGGAGCTCACTTCTCAGACAGAGGCTTAGCCCCTCAGCAGGGAAGAAACTAATAGACATATTTTAAAAACATTGATTAAACATTGGAAAAGAAATGGCAACCCTTGGCTCTCCTATTTGGGTTATTGCAGCTGCCTTTTCATTGATCTCCCTCCTTCGGCCCTGCTCTGTAGGCAGAGTTTTCTTGCAGCACCTCACCCTGCTTTGAGCAGCTCTTGGCAGTAACTATTTGTGCATCCCTGCTGGTTTGATATCACCAGGAAGGCAATGGGCACACCTGCTACTCCGATCAGCACCATGGGAGAAAATATATTGGGAATCAGTACTTGGATGCTAAGCAGGGTGTGGAGGCATGTCCAAGAAGTCCCAGATGACGCAGTAAAGTTGTACAGCAGGCTTTCAGGGCAGGCAGCAGAGTTCATGTGTCAGAGCAGCTTCTCTGCCATTTCTTTACAACCTTTATTTCTGAGAGATTGTTTTTTACATGCAGAGGGGCATAGTGTTTGTCATGCAATTTAGCTGCCTTGTCTAAACCCTAACTGAAAAAAATACATTGCACACATGCACACTGGAAGTGGTTGAGACAGTCTAGGATCATGCCCTTCCCCCAGTACTGATTCTACTTGGCCCTAACCAGTTTGTCAGGGCTAGAGTGGGACTGTGGGTAAAAGTAATCAGTTCTCACTGCATTCAGTTAATTTTCTCCCTACAGATGATGCTCTTTCACTTGCCTCCTTATCGACCTCAATTACTGCAGGGAAGTGTGGGGGCCTCAGTCCCAGGGCACCCCAGTCTTGCACTGTCTGACACATTTCTCCTATTTCTCCTTCGTTATCATGTATTTCAGGGTAGGAAGGTTTTCTCCAGCAATTTCCCAAAGGTGTTGGAACCTCCTTACCCCGTACAACAAAATGCACAGGAAATTATTGTGTGAAACAAAACATACAGTAGAAACAACACATATGTTAATGGTGATAAATAGACTAACACTCAAATATGTCCCTCTGTGATTTAAACAGAGGCTGGATTTTGCTGGGGACAATGGGATGTGTATTGCGACTATTGTGCAATGTGGTTTTTTATTGTCTGATCCAGTCTTGTGGCAAAGGGTGATTAATACAACTAAAATGCTGCTGCTGCCATGTCTTTATTTTTGCCCCTCATACTTTATTTGGATAATTTAAAAGCTTCTCCCCTTCCCCCCACAACAGGCTGTTTTCAGTGGTGTAAAAAGCACTTTGCAGTTTCACACCGAGGGGTTGAATGTAGATCTTTCCGTATGTTTTTCTTTGTTAGAAAATTTTTGCTCCATTTGCAAGGCATAAATCCAGTTTGTCTCCCCAGCCCTTACCAAGGAGACCTCAAAGTTCAATCTCTTTTCATATGAGTAAATCAGGAGTAACACTGTTAGTCACTAGATAGGGAACCAGTTCAAAACCAATTTAAGTAAGAGGAGAGTTATATCTAAAATGTAACTTGGTTTGATCAGGGTGCATGATTGTGTTCCCCATTGAGGCCAGTTTAAGTACCTAACGCATTACATATGTAAAGCATCTCAGACTGGTACCATAAAAAGTAGGATAGCACAGAATGACACATGTCTGTGGTGGACTGGACTAACAGTCACATGGAAATAAACAGCATGTAGACATAAAATGCATGTTGCTACCGACCCATCAGAGCAAGGAAGAGGCACACTGCTGAGAAGCAGCACAGAAGAAGCTTCCACTGTCCAGGCTGTGATGCTACGTATTTAAGTGTCTTGAGCTCTGTAGTTGTCCCCCAACTTCTGTCTGCACCTGTGGCCCTTTGTCTTCTACTTAGACTACAAGCTTTTTGAAAAAAAGATTCTTTTTCTTCTGTGTTTATGTAGGGCCTAGTATTGTGTCATCCTGGTTCCATGGTTGAGATTCCTAGGCACTCCTGCAATATCAGGGTTGGCTATAAAATACTTTGCAAGCAATGTGAAGATGCCTGCTTTGATAATAAGTACTACTGCAGTTACTGTAACATCGGGCACTGCATCTTGGTGACATTGGAGGCCTTTTTGGCAATGCACCAGGAACTTAAGGGCTGCAGCTAATTTGCACAGCCATAAATGTTTAATTCAAGAATGAATACACACAGTCATAATATTTGCTGGTACTTCCATCTTCCCTTGAGAGCAGGACAGAAATTGCTGTTTGTTTGAGTTTCTTAGCAATACAGAGCTTCCACTGATCACAGTTTGGGTAGTTCTGAAGAAAGAGCATCTTAGGTAGTGCTAAGTGAACCCCTTCTCTGGTATTAACCAGTACTCCTAACCTCAGTGTTTGAATCTAGGGAGTGGGAAGCAAGTGTGCCAGTATTCACTCAACTCCTCTTGTGCAGCAGCAGTCAGAGGAGTGTAATGACTGTAATTCCATCCTGAAACTGAGTGTTGCCTAGAACAGAGGTTGACTACAAAGAAACTCACCAGTTGGTGCATGTTACATGCAGTAGCAGATAATTTAGGGCTGAACAGGTTAATTCTGAATGTTTCCTCCTTTGGAGCCTGAAGGATCCTGACCAGTCAGCTCCATAGAATTGTACATTGAAATGTAATTCAGGGACCAAATTTTCTCCTGACCTGATCTCCGCTGAAGCTGCTGAAGTTACATCATCAGAGAATTCAGCCAAAGACCTGTCGTTATACACAGCACAGGTGGGGAAGGACAATGGGTGACTGCTTACAATAATGGATTGGGAGTCAAAACTTCTGGGATCCATTCTTGGCTCTGCTACTCATTCACCATGCAATGTGAAGATAGTCACTTTGCTGCTCTGTATCTTGGTTTTCTCATCTGTGAATAGTAACAAGGAAGCAGAATAAATTAGTGTTTAGAAAGCACTTTGAGTCCCTTAGGTGTAACATGCTAGAGAGGGACATGGTTTTGTTGCATTGCTGAAATGCTTCTTTGAGGGGAACACACTGGGATGTGTCTGTTCTGACACCCACTCCTGGCCAACATATAGCACCATCTATGCTCACTGGGCTGAGGGTGGTAGAGGTGTCCCTTGACAAGATGTATCCCCCCAGCTATTCCATGCTTAAAGCTGTGCTCAGGAACTGTGCCCTTTGGCTGAGGTTTTCTGCAATGGAGGACCCCAATGAGAACATGAGAAGTGGAACAGATACTCTGGGACGCGTGCTGAGGAAGCTCTGAGCTGGTCCATTAACATCAAGCCCCAAATAGCTGAAGGTGTGTTTTAGAGAGTGGCAGAAGGGAGAAATGAGGCCAGTTTTGCTTTTCTGAATTGCTGCTTTGACCCCATATGTCAGAGGGAACAACTGAAGTCTGCCAGCCTGCCGCCACTGAGCACTTCTCTCTGGCTGGCTGTGCTGAGGATGTCTGTGCTGTGTGGGGATGCCAGCTAGAGTGCCCCATATATGTGCACACAGCTCCAAGAAACCTCTGAGGAGCTTTGAGGCAGTGACAGGCAATGCAGCATTGCAGTAAAAATCCAACTCTACTGCATGCCTTCCCTGGAAGATGTTTAGCCAGGGATGTGGTGGGCTTACCACCATCAACTCTGTTGCAGTCCTAGCCGCAGGGAACAGCCGATTTGCAGCAAGAAAGATTTCTACAAAGGTCTGTCTGCCAGGGGAAAAGAGGAGGAACAACAAATAAATAAATAAATGAAAAAGCTCAGTGCAGCATTTTCCTTGGCTGCAGTCTCTGATATCTTGTATTTTAATGATTCTTGGGCCTCAGCTCTGCCCTCTCCTAGCTCTTGCCTCTCATTACGGATGCAATACTCTATCTCTTTTAATAGCATTAGTGTTTGGAGTGTTCCCAACAGGAGGTGACCTCAAAGACTCATTAACCTCTTCATATCAGATCCCAGAGCTTGCCTTGTCCTTTTTGTGTCTGGATCAATTAGGTTTCAGACTGTAGCTGTTCCCACCATGTACAGCCCAGGCAGGAATCTTGAAGTTGTTGATTTTATTTAATAGCAAGCCGAGGCAAGGAAAAGCTGGATTGGAGGAGCTGGGAGCACCCAATATCCTGTGTGGCTATGCCATTTTCTACAGCACCTTGCCTTATGTTGGGAGGGACCAAAATTGCAGAAGTTGGGGGCGGGGTGCTCTTATCACTCACTGTTCCTACAGGATGCCCCAAAATATTTCCTGCTGGAAGAGGCAGAGACTGGAGTTAGCTGGATCCTATATCCAGCACTCCTAAATCATCCATACAGCACATATTGCAGGGAGAGACTGAGACCAGAGTAGCAGGAAACTCCCCACCCTCAGTACTCCTGTCCTGCTCCGTGTAGCACTTTCTGCAGCGACTGACCTGCCATGGACACCTTACCTTCCAAGCCTGTACTCCTGTGTGGCTTCATGTAGGAGAGCTGGGGGAAAGACCTTTTGCAGTGTCTTGCTCCTGAGTCCCCTACAGAAGGTCCCAGCTGCCCAAGTTTTCTCAGACTGCTTCATCCCAATCCACCTGCTTGGTGTGCTACTGCAATCATACCATGTCATCCTGTCTCTCCAGGCTCATCCTTCAGTACGTATCAAAGGGACGGAACACAACTACAATCCAGTCCTGTGCCAAGATGACCAGTGTGCTGCCAGTGTCAAAGGGAGGCACACGCACTGCCCATTCTGCAGCATTTCTGAGGCTTATCAGGATCCGTTCATTCTCCGGGCTCACTACCGGGTCAAACACGTGGACAAGGGCCTCGACTTTGCAGGTAAGATGCTAATTTTAAAGTGTTGACTAGGTTGATTGTAGTGTCTGCAGATACTTCTCTTCTCTGTACTGAAATTGCAGCCTGCAAAGGTCCTTGAATCACAGTAGATGTCCCTACATGTCCCAAAGTTTCTGAGTAAGGTGGGGACTGGCCAGTTTCTCCAGCATTGATGCACACCCCATCAAAAATACATACGAGGCAGTGCCTAATGCTAGAGGGATATAGGTTACCATTTTGGATCCAGATTGGGTTGGTGGGGACTGAAAGTCACCACAATCTGATGCCTGTTCAGCAGCTCATGTGAAGTGACTTAATGGGTCTCTGTCGGGGACCTGGTGGGCAAATGCCTATGACACAATACCACTGTCACAGCTATCCCTTGTATACTTCCTTTGGCAAAGTGCAGACAGCACTGGTTTGGGACAGGAAGTAAAGAAGTACCCAATATTCACTTGTGAGTTTTAGGGAGGCAGAACATCATGATCTAAACTGGAATCTGGTCAGAACATATGAGCTAATGTCCATGATCTTGCAACAGGTGTCAGGGAAGTTGTAATAACCACATTGAGGGTAGACACATGGATGTGCAGATCACTGGCATTGCCAAGGAGATGGTCTGAGTGGTTCACTAGGTCTTTTTCTTGATGGCAACCTAGCTCCTCCTAGTCCGGGGTGGGCAAAATGCGGTCCATGGGCTGGATGCAGCCCACCAGGCCATTCTATCTGACTCGTGAGGCTTCTATAAATTTAGAGAATGAATACTTATCTGCCCCTGGCTGCCTGTCATGTGGCCCTTGATGGCTTGCCAAAACTCAGTAAGCCGCCCTCTGCCTGAAATAATTGCCCGCCGGGTCCTAGTCAAACACTGGGTCAGTGCTGGTTCAGAGGGAAGAGCGCCACCTGCTGTCTCAGCAGCAGCATTTCGTGCACCACTGTGTGCATCCCTGAGTGCTCCCAGACATTACTGGCCTGGACTGAGCCTGCTTAGCTATGAGACCTCAGCAGGAGTTAGTCTTACAGTAGGCTCAACATTTGAATCCCTTTAAATTTGCTGTGCCACGGTGGGGATCATTCTCCAGACTCAGGTCTCTGCTTTGAAAAAGAAATAAGGAGATGATGTTTGTTAAATTGGAAAAGGACAGAGAGAAACTTTTGCTTTTACAGCATCTGGGCAGGGCTCTATGGGCACTAGATACTGTGTGTGTACACATAAGTGTGTCTGCAGTGGGAGAGAGAATTGAAAACTAAATAGAAATATTTGGGCAGTATCTCAGTTAGCCTTGGTCAGGCAGGGTGTTATCCTAGTTCCTGCTCTACTGCTATTAATGTGGAGGAAGCTGCAAGACAGGCAGGTGCTTTATTGCAGGTTTGATTTCAGCTTCAGAGTTGTGCAAAGAGGAGGGACAATAGCACTCAGCACCCCTCCCTGATTCTGCAGATGGCTGAAGACTGCTACCTGCCTGCTCTAAAGCAGCCCAATGGCTGCTTGATTTTACGTTTGGCTACCCATGGCCCTAAGGCAGCCAAACATAGCTTGGAGCACAGAGGCACTCGAGCTATGGCTTGTTTTATCAGGCTGTTCCCACCCTGCACTGGAGAGGGCGTGCAGTGTCATTACACTGGCTCTGCTCCAGCCAGAGATTCACTTCAGTAAAGGCAAGCAAAGCTGGATTTCTAGCTCTTGGTGCTGGCAGTGCTAGGGGCCAGAATCTGGCCCCTAGCTAGGCAGTGCCTAGCTCTTGGTGCTGGCAGTGCTAGGGGCCATTGCCTTTGACTGAGTTACTCCTGTATTTATGCAAGAGATGGAATTGGGCCTTGGTTCCTGCTTGCTTCCAGTGGATCATAATTCAGTTTTCAGAAATACTATATTTGACTAGGGGTTTGCAGATACAATAGCAGGCAAGTGACCTGCTATTTTGTAGAGAGAAGATTTTATTGATGCTGCTATATAGCATTAATGTAAGCCTGTTTAAGATGCTTCAACAATGTAGTCTTGAGTCAGTCATGTGCCCCTTTCTTTTATGTTTTAGAAATAGATTTTGTGTTTAAAGAACAGCAGATTTAATCAGGTGAGGGCAAATAAACCAGCCTCCAAAAGCCCAGCCGTGTATGCTCCAAATCTCAAGAAGGACACGGCAGAGCAGAAATCTATAGGGTTAGGACACCTAACATGTTGCCCTGTGTTTGGCACAATTCCAGTGTGGGTCATTAAATTCTAACTAGCCAGAATCCCCTTGGTTGCATCAGCAGGAGGTATCCACAGGACATGTCTTCATCAAAGGTGATTTGAAGCAGCTGGTGCTGGCCAGTCACAGATAGGATGCTAGCGTTGACAGAACTGAGGTCTGATCTAGTCAAGCATTCTTAAGTTCCTGTCATTTTTATTATACCCAGTGCTGGTTCAGATTGGAGAGGAGGCAGGTAGCACAGTGGTAGACAGGGCATAGAGCAGAAAGCAGAGCAGGAGATTGGGCAGGATGCATAGGGCATGAAGCAGAAAGCAGAGCAGCAGATCAGGTAGGGGGAGAGGATCAGAGTGGCACTCAGGGAGGGTTCAGGGTTAATTTGTGGCACACCTGCCAAAAAGGTTGCCACTGGTTTAGGAGAGGAAGAAAGTCTCATGAACATGGTATTGGGGTGACTGTTCCATTCATGGGGTGGTGACTGAATAAGTTACTTGGCCCATCATCGGCCAGTACTGATATAACTTTATACCTCTCCAGTCTTCATACTGATCCCCCACTCTCATGTGTCCAGGTATTGCTCATGTTCCCCAGTAGAGGTTTTAGTGGTAGTTTACATATTATGTACTTTTTGATTTCATGAAGACTGTGTTATTCCCCCCTGGAGAGCTAGGAGCCTCAGTTACCATCAGCCAGTTTATCCCTTCAGGAGAACTGAGCTGATGACTTTGCTACCTTTGTTTTTCTTTACCTTTAGCTGGCCCCCAGCACAAGTTAGAATAGCTTGAGGGCTGTCTGTGTCCTGCTGCAGGGACTTGAATCAAGGTGCTTCTGCAGCAGATGGGAGTAGCTGAGGTGCAGCATTTGAGTCCTCTGAAAGGATCTGTTTCTCATCAGTGTGAGCTAGCGCGTGCATTGATTTCTCTGTGAGGGAAGCACGCTGGTTATCGCAGTTTGTACTTTGCTGTGTAACTGGGGTAGGGAGCCTGGGCTGCTAATGGGATAAAATGCGGTGGGACTGGCATGGCTTAACAAGCATCTGTTACATTGAAAGCAGCCCCTTGGAAAGTGTCCTTCAGAAGTGATGCTCTTGTGATTTATTAGCTGCTGATTAGGGATCTTTGAGAAAGCAGATAACTGGTTATTTTTAGTATTTTTGTCCTTCTGTCTCCACATACACACAAGAAAGAAAGGGAGGAAAGGATTAATTCATCTTTATTGGAATGAGTATGACAGAAGGAATACTAGATAAATGGGTCTCTTGGTGACAGCTTCATTGTCCTACATACATGTGCACAAATCTGATCCAGAGTAATCACAGACTGAAGAGAATCCTGAGGAGGAGGCAAAACCTCTCTGTGTTTTCTGTGAAGGTCATGCTCAAAGTGAAGACCTGGTTCTCTTCCTCCCTCCCTGTGCTTTGGCTCTGGGAACAAAGACATCACTGGTATAATATCATAAAGAGAAGATCAAACTGCCTATGCTAGGCAGTTCCTGGAGTCCCTTTTCCAAGGTTTCTCAGCTCACACCATAGGTGTGCGCTTCCCACATACCTCTCTTGTACCCAAGATGGGGGGGGATTCATGATTTACCTGCCCCTATGAGTCAGCAGAGCCCCCTTAAACACTTCCAGGGGTGAACTTCAGACAAACCTTGTCAGCCTGTGACACCATCTTCTGTCCAAGAGCCTCAAAGTACTTTGTGAATACAATTAACTGCTCCTAACACCCCACTGATTATTCTTTCTACAGTACTATTAAAACTGTTATTATAGCATGCAGAGGAAGACATGCCTGAGGCATGCCTCAGAGAGCTAAATTGCTCCAGATAGTATGAGGTAGGTGTGTAACACAGCACAGTTGTGTAGAAGGAAGGCATGGAAATGTATAGGGCAGCACAGAAGAAGGTACAAAGATGACAATGGGAGGAGGTTTCAAAGGGAGGGATTGGGGGGAGTCTTGCATGGAACCAAATGGGATGCATGAGGGATGGAGCAGAGATGTAGGCAGGAGCGAGTTGTAAATGTTACAGCTGCCATTTTACTGAAAGGGAAACAGAACCTGGGAGATGAACTGACCTGATCAAGGTCATGCAGTCAGTCAGTGGCAGAGCAAGGAATCCTGGATCCCAGTTCCCAACCCTAACCGCTGGACCACTCTCCAGTTCATCCAGATCACTTAAATCAATGGCAGTCAACCTTTCTGGGAGCTGCGCTAGAAATTAAGCCTGCACCCTCCCTCTGTCTCACCCAGCCAACTTTCTGCTCCCTGACCTGTCTGCCGCGTGCCACACACAAAAGCTTTCCATAGCACCTGTGGCATGTGTGCTTCAGGTTGGCCATCCCTGACCTAAGTGAACTCTGACTAGGACCTGTAAGAGCATTGTAGATGTGTAAAAAGAGTTTTCTCCCCAGTCTGTCCCCATCTGTAGTAGAGCTGCTTTTAAATGACATGATTCCCACTTGCTGCCTGAGAACTGCCACAGTAGAGGCTTGCCCCATCTGCTGTAGGGCACTGGGCAGTACAGTTCTGTACATCTGTAGGAGGTCTCTTCTTTCCAGTGTCTCTTCAGTTCCCCTAAACTGGACTCTTAGTTCTGGCCCAGCCTAGATGCTAAGTTTATTTTTGCTTCAGGGCACAAGCTGATGGCCTGCAAAAGCCAAGGAGAGGTCCTCCTACCTCCCTGCTCCCAAGGCACAGCACTGACCTGCTAACTTACCGCTTTATGTTTCTACTTCCTTCCTGGTTCTGGCTCTTGCTGGAGGTAGGCTGCCTGATGGGGCTCTGATCTGGGACAACAGCACCTATGTTCTTGTGCCAGTGCTTCATGCTCAGAGTTCCAGGGTCTGAACCCTCACTTGCTCACATGAATGTGAATCACCAGTAACTCCACTAATCCTAAAATATATACACCAGTATGAAATCAGTATGAGGGAGTCGGAGGTATAGCTTGGCAGCTCTGTGCCCAGGCCAGCCACTGATGCCTGGGGAAGCATGGGTTTCCACTGTGCCAATCACAACAGCACAATTACTACATCCCCCAGCAAAGGCAGTGCGTGGAGTTCCTGCCCTGGTCACCCCCTCACCCTCTCCGGCCCATGCTACTGGAGGAAGTGATGAATCAAGCCCCATTCCCATTCTCGCAGGAGGTAGGAGCACTGTAGAGACCATTACTAAGGGTATGATTTTCCAAAAAGCAATGTCAATGTTTCCACTTAGGCAGCTAAGTGAAGGGTCTGAGGACAGTAGAGAATTCCACCCCCCATTCCAGTGAGAGCACATGGAGATCTAGCTGGAGCCTTATTTTGGTGCAGGAGCAGAGCTCCTAGATGAGAGAATGAAAGGAAGGTGATGAGAACAGGGCAGGTAATGGACCAAGCTGTGAAACAAGCCCTTGATGTTGGGAGGCAGCTTTTTTTCCTTCTGCAGAGGCAGCTTGGCATTGGCTTGGAACTGGTGTTGCAGTGGGAGTGTACTGCTTCTCCTAAAGCAAAATTCAAGCCATAAATCTAGCAGCTTGGCTGGCTTTTATGGCCCTGTAAAACAGCCTCTGCAGACATCCTCATACGAGGGGCGGCACTTCAGGTTCCCAGGATTCTTGTTGGCTGCTGGCCTGATTTAACTCTACCTCATAGTTCTGTAATGACCCTGTCTGTCTTCCTCTGCATTGTCTTCCCCCCTTTGAGCATCCCAGTTCTTGTCCAGGGATCTGAAGTCCCAAGGTGCCTTGCCCCTTCCCTGTCCTTCTTCAAAGAAACCAGGTCTTACTAGAGATAGCCAGGGGCCTGCTGCAGTCCCAAAAGCACTGCAGTGCTGGTGGCTCTGCCAGCAGTTGTCAGCAACTTTCCATCTGGGTTGTCAGGAAAACTAATTCAGATCAATATGCCAGTGATTTAGCCCACCTTGCACTTGAGGAAGCCAGTGACCGGCAGCTCAAGGATGTATTGTGGCAGGAGGGTAGACTGGAGTGGAGCTATTAATAGAAAGTGCTGGCTTTATTTTAATGTTGCTAGGATGTCTGTGGTGTTTAAATTCCCCACATAGAGGATGCTGGAATCAGATTTCACGTGCACAGCATCCTCCCCCAGCAGTCAGGGCCTCACACAGATCTCCTTCACCTCAACTGCCAACAGGAGTGGATGGTCCATTGGCAAAATGTTCCTTTCAGCCGCTTCTCTCTGAGCTTTCAGCAGGCTCAGGCTCCTGATCTTCACCGCACTTGCTTCTGTGAGGATTCATGTTGGGGGTCTTGGCAATCTGCCATAGATCCCAGAGGGACTGGGCTTTTGGGACTTCTCGCATGGTTCCTGCTCTGTATTACAGGTTTCCAGGACTCCTGGCATTTATTTTGTATCTAGAGCGCCTTCTCCTGGGTGTCTTCTTCTACATGTTTGGCTTGTGTTCACTTGGATTTCCATTTGAGATCTCACATGTAGCCTGTGCTCTCTCCTCATTAACCTGTCAACACTTTTTTTTATTCCTTACCTCTAAGCTGTGGTTTCAGGTAGTTTTACAGACCTGAAAGATACTCATTCACAGATCAGTGCCTCAGGGCTCAAGATGGGGTACATTCATTTCTCATCTTCACTTCTCACTCTGCTCTGCTTCTCCTTCATCCAGAAGCATTCTGATTTTTGGCTGCAGCAGGCTAAACAGGGCTTTTGCCTTCCATTTAAGTGACCAATGATGAAAAAGAATGCGCATCATTGCATAATTGTAGATTACACACAGATCACAGAAAAAAAAATCATCAGAGGCAGGGCACAGAGGAAATATAAATGACAGCAGCTAGAATGCTACATTCTCTGCAGAAGAGACAGTGAGGGTAATCAAGTTCAGATGTTTGCTACCATGAGGCTATGGATTAGTCATTGCAGTGGCAGGGCATTGGCAGCACCCTCCTTTCTCTGGCTTTTTGCCTGTGGCACGCTGAGTTTTGTACTGGTGTTTCAGATATGGTTCCTTGTAGTTATGGGTGATAGATGGTTTTAAATAGTGATTTGGGGGATTCCTTCATTTAATAATAGCCTGTGAATGAAGGGGACTGGACTTGATGGCCCAGGGGCTCATCACAGTCCTTCCTGTATTCCCATGTCAGTGTTCATTTTCATGGCCCTGAGATGTCCTCATTCTCTTTATTTTCATCCCAGTGTATAGTCAAGACTAATAGTGTGTGGGAAGTGCTGGGGGTGTTTTACTGTAAGAGAGGACACAGCTGGCAAATATTAGCAAAGAATCTCACTTTTTTTCCTGCAGCCTTTTTTCCCTTTTGCTAAGCCCAGAATTGGGCATGCCAGTGTAAACTCCATTGGGAGCCTTAGTGGAGACAGGCCATAAAACCTCACATTGACTAACCATGCTGCAGAAGGGTTATGTGGCATAGCATTGGAACCAGTGGTGGCTGTTGGCCATCCATGTGCATTGGGACTCACAGTGCTGTTAGCTCCAGCAGGAACTGTTAGACAGTTTCCCCAGAGCTGACCAGCTGCAGCAAAATGTTGCTGAGCCAGATATGTTCTTAATCCTCCGTTCTCTAAGAAGGGGCATTTTCTGCCCTGCTCAGTCAGCTGCGGGGTGTTAATTTCTGTGGAAGGCCTGATCCCATTCTCAGTGAAGTCAGTGGGAGCCTGCCTGCCAATGCCATGCTTCTGACACCCAAGCTAGCAGGATGCATTTGCAGCAGAACCACACAAGGTCCCTTTGATCCTCACCAGGGCTTTACCTTTGTCAGGGTTGAAGATCCTGCGCTGCTGCAACCATTGCGAGATCGTAGGCACGATCAAAGGGGAGAAGAAGTTCAAAGGGGCACACTGGCACTGCTATCGCTGTCGCAATGGCTTCAATCGGCGAGATGAGGCAGTGAAGCACTACAAGACCCACTTCCGGAACCCCCACACCACCTTCCAGATCCAGATTGCACAGGTGCCTGGGGCAGCAGGAGGGACCCTAGGAGATCTCCCCGTGGGAGGGTGTGATCTGGGATCTCATGGATGCTCTGATGGGGACTCAGGGCTGGCTTACAGCTTATTTGGACCAGGGTCTGTCACACTTGGGGCCAGTGAGGCAAACGGTGGGACTGGCTGGCCTTCTTGGCTGTGCCTGAATTGGATGCCTTGGTGGGGCTGGCTGCTGGAAGCTGCTGCCAGGTACTTGGGGTAGGACAGTGGTCAACACACATTCTTCCTTGCTCCTGGTGCTCAGATGGTCTTCCTGTTACTCCTGACACTTGGCTGCTTTACTAGTTCCTTCTTTGGGCTTCTAACTATTGTTCTGGCAGACCCAGCCTTTGACTCATCTCCTGGCCTGAACCTTTGGGCCCCCCACATCCCAGTCCATCCAGTCAGCCCTGGCCTTTGGCTTACCTCTTGGTTCTACATCTTGGCCCTGCTCCCAACGGGTACAGGAGTAGATGGGGCCCTAGACTGGGAGTTCAGTGGGTACTGTTCAGGGAGACAAGGACTCTATTTCTGCCTCTGCCACTGACTTGCTGGGTGGCTTTGGGAATTCACATCCCCTGTCTGCACCTCTCTTTCTGCCTCTATAAAATGGAGCTGATGCTACTTGCTCACCCTCATAAAGCCCCTTGAGCTGAGTTCATGGAAATCCCTACAGAAAGACTACATTTTACAGGGATCTATGGGTAAAATGTAGAGTCATGTTCAAGACTGTGCACGTCAGGAGATGAACAGGAGGGCAAATGCTCTGTGTGCCCCAGGTGCAGAGGGGCCTGCAAACACCTCTGTAGTGTTTGCTGTTGATGGCAGCTATTAGCTGCTGAGCACAGATCAGATGCATGCCCAGAGTTCAAGCCCCATTGCAGACCCATGGGTTGTCATTCCACCTTCATAACCACTGGGATGGATGAACAGAGAAGCCTAAGAGCCAGGGATCAGATGCGATTTTAACCCTGTCTTCTGCCATATTGATAGCACACCTGTGACAGCGGCCCTGGCTTGTTTTATATCAACCAGACACATGGCTGGCCTGGGTCTAGCACAGGGGTCAGTAATCCATGGCACACGTGCCAGAGCATGGCACACAAAGCCGTTTTGCTTGGCACGCCACAGTTGACCTGGGCTCTGGGCAGCTGCCACTGACCACGGAGCCCAGGATGCTCACAGCAATTGGCCGGGAGGCTGCAAGTAGGTCGGACTCCATGGCTGGCAGCAGCTGCCTGGAGCCCACCAGCAGCAAGGAACAAGCCTCTCACAGCTCCCCTGCAGTCTGTCCCTGGCATGCCAAGTCAAGGTGTGGGGCAGGTTTCGGGTGTTTTTGGCACCCTGGCCAAAAACGTTGCCGACTCTTATCTAGCAGCACAAAGTGAAGCAGCTTTCACTCCATAACTGTTTCTCATGGCCTCTGTCTCTATGTAGGACGTCAACAGCCGCCAGTATTATGAGCGCAGTGCCGAAGCCAATCATAAGGCCTATGGTGGCCTCAGTGTCTCCACCGGAGCCAATGTTGATGTGATGTCCATAGGTGCATTGCTGGCCCAAAATGTCCTTGCATCAAGATCGCCTGCTGCTGCCTCTGATAAGGGGACAGAGAGCCTGCTGGGAAGCCCTGCCAAGGTACGCTTGATTCTGCACAGGGCTTGTTCAAACCAAAGGGCACAGGCCAGGAATGGTGCAATGCTAGAGCACACACAGGGTGCTTAGATCTGCATGAGCAGGGTCTGAGCAGGTCATCTGGGAGGGAGCTCCTCCTGAAGTTTCTTCTCATGATAGGAAGGGCTGGAGGTGTCTCTTGAGTTAGTTTTCTTATGTGATGTGTCTCATGCCATTTCTCCTACCCTTCCCCCAGTCACCTGCTCTACACTGAACATCTTCCCATCCAGGTGCAGAGGCAAGCAGTGTACTCCACCATGTATCTCCACAAGGAGTGGTATACAGGAGGGAGTGGAGAAAAAAGGGCATGTATACACCGAAACTAAGATTTTGTTTGTTAAAACCTACCGGATCAAGCCATACCAGGATCCTGTATGGACAGCAGTGCCCATACGGTGCCTTACATTATCAAGCCTTCGCTCAGAAGTCCAATGGGGCATTGTCCTCTTTTTGCTTGGGGTGCTTTTTCCTTCTTTTGTATAGCTGGTCTTCTCCAAGAACTTGATTTAATTCCCTTCCTCTGTACCTTCTCAACCTTTTTAGACTCAAGGCACCCATCGTTAGACTGAAGGTACCCTTCAGAAAATTCCAGCTCTTAATTTTCCCTCATTTTTTGACTATGGAAAAATAGTAGAGCAATTTTCCTGTTGCCAGGAACTTAGAAAGCCCATAGCAGGTCAGAATGTTTTTAACACTAAGGATTCTTATTTGAAATCTCTGGGTTTATCTTGTGAATCATGTTTGCAAGCACCCATGGCACCCTTGAAAGGATCTCAAGGCACCCCAGGGTGCCATGACACCATGGTTGAGAATCACTGCTAATAGATTATGTAGATACTATTTGGTTATGTAAAATATCTAATTTAGCATCCACCTCTGGTTAAAGAATTGTTGCCCGCTTCCACTCTGTTCCTGCTGGTTAGAACAGGAAAGACCATCCTTCCTGAGAGCAGAGGGGCCCATTCCAATTTAAACTAGTTCTTCCTTAAACATGCAAGAAGACTAAGGCTGGGCCCATCAGTCTGTGTCTTCAATCTCATTCTGTGGCATTAGGTGCCCGTAACATCTAGGCACTAAATACAGCAGTAATTTTATTGCTGTCCTGGTAGCATTCTCTGCTCCACTCTGGATATAATTATATCCCGGTGGCAAGCACTTTAAGGGACCAGGGTGCTCAAGGCTGCCCGTGTCAGAATAAAATCAGTGTACACAGGTGCATCTGGCATTCTGCCCCCATATAGGAGAGACCACCTCAGCCTGGTTCCCTGGGGCAGGGAATTCCTCTTCACAGAGCTCTGTAACAGGGGACCTGCTTTGGGCCGACTTCCCAGTGGCCCGCCCGCCTTCTTGCTCACCACGCCTTGTTGTTAATTAATTAATGGATGTTACTAAGCGGGAGGCTGCCCGTTTCCTGCCCCGATGCCAGGGGGCGCTATCTGTGGCTCCGTTCCCCCCCCTACACCACAAGCCAAGCCTCGCAGATGGCATCTAGATGTTCTCATCATCACCGGCCCCC